TCCCAAAGGTGCGGGATTATAGGCTGAGCCACCGAGCCCGGCTAACATATACTTATTAATTAACATACAATACTAGTCTCTATTGTTGGACATTTAGGTTTTTGAAATTATTTTTTTTTCTTTTTAAAATATTTTATTACAACACAGATTTGTCAAGGGCATAGAAAATAGTATAAGCACATTTGCAAATGTGTAATCTGTAATCCCAGGAATTTGGGAGACTGAGGGGGGAGAATTGCTTGAAACCAGGAGTTTGAGAACATAAAAATTCTCCCATCTCTACCAAAAAAAGAAAAGAAAAGAAAAGGAAAAAAAGAGAAAAAAATTAGCTAGGAGTGGTGGCACCCGCCTGTAGTCCTAGCTATTTGGGAGACTAAGGCAAGAGAGTCACTTGAGCCCAGGAGTTCAAGGTTACAGAGTGCTACTAGCTATGATCATGCTACTACACTTCAACCTGGGTGACAGTTAAAAAAAATAATACCAGCCAGGCTCAGTGACTCAGCCTGTAATCCCGCACCTTTGGGAGGCTGAGGTGAGTGGATTGCCTGAGCCCGTGGGTTCGAGACCTGCCTGGGCAGGTGAGACCTCATCTCCACAATAAATCAAAAAAATATTAGCCGGGCATGGTAGCACGCGCCTGTAGTTCCAGCTACTTGGAAGGCTGAGGCAGAAGGATCGCCGGAGCCCATTAGGTCGAGGCTGCGGTGGCTGGAAGCGGCCACTGCACTCCAGTCTGGGAGACAGTGAGACTCCAACTCAAAAATAATAATAATAATAATAATAATACCGATGCCTGGGTGTTGATTTTTTAAAAAGCACCTATGATTTAAATATGCATCCAGAGTTGAGAACCACTGATTGAGGTTATATGAAGAAATATTTGGTGCTTAGTATTGGATTGATGCAAGAATTATATATAATTTATCTTACCCACTTTATTAATAAAACATCCATAATGTTAAGGTAATGGTAATAGTTGCGATCATAGTCATAGTAGTAATAATAATAGTAATAAAAATATTGTGGCCAGGTGCAGGGGATCACGCCTGTAATCCCAGCAAAGCAGGAGGATTGCTTGAGGCTAGGAGTATGAGACCAGCCTGGGTAACATAGCGAGACTCTTCTCTACAACAAAACAAAAAAATTAACTGGGCATAGTGGTGCATGTCTGTAGTCTCAGCTACTTAGGTGGCTAAGGCAGAAGGATCACCTGAGCCCAGGAGGTCGAGGCTGTAGCGAGCTGTGATTGCACCTTGCACTCCAACTTGGGTGACAGAGTGAGACTTCAACTCAGAAAAGGGAAAAAAAAAATATCATGATCAAATCCATTAAAGAAATATCCCATTTCCCACTGAGCAGGATGAAACCATGCTACACATGAAGAACAGAAGTTTTTATTTTATTGTTTCACAGGACAGGGAATTTAGGAACCAAGCAGAATGCATGAAGAAAAGGATTACTTGGGACTTGGAAAGTCGCTCTTACCTTGCTCCTTCTGCAGTGGTCAGGTAGGAAAAATGAGGGAATGTGCCTAGCCAACAAAGGATTGTAGGTAGGAAGAAATGTTAATTTGGTTAATTTTATGCATATTTGACTGAAACCAATTTGAGACTTTCTCTTCCAGCACATGTGTATCAGTTAGACATCGTGTTCATCTGCTGATAACAGAGGGACCTGGTGATGGTGGCTGGATCACAATGAATGTTTATTTTTCTTTTATGTATAGTGGTTATACAGTGTCATCAGGTATCCAGGCTCAATCTTTCTTTTGCACTACTTTCTTTGATATGTGCCTTCCATCTACAAGTTTGTCTCATGGTCCAAAGAAGACTGCTAGAGCTCTAGTCTGCACACTTACATTTCTGGCAGAAATTTGGAAGACAGGAGTGGATATCAGTAAAAAAGGACACAGGCTGACTGTCTTAGCCCCTTTTTTTTTTTTTTTTTTTTTTTTGAGTTGGAGTCTCACTCTGTCACCCAGACTGGAGTGCAATGGCC